AATGGATACTAGATATGGTAATTAGTAGATAACCTCTAGGCAGAATCTTTAAATAGACAATGATTAAAGTTGTATATATAACTAATTATACTCTCACTAACTAATATAAATCTATAAACAACTTAATAAAAATTAATTAGCATTAAGGTCTTGTTGTAATAAAAAAAAAAAAAGATATTAGAAGTATAATATAATGCTAAAGTTATATTATATAAATAAATCTTAATAGAATCTACAGATAAAAGATTTGTATAGTAGAAATTCTAAGTTTGGTAAAGTAGTATAGATTTTAATAGTTATACTATTTAATATTTAATCTAATGAAAAAATCTGTAAACAAAAGATATAGATTGAGTAGATGAGTAAGTCTATTATATAATACAGTCTAATACTTTGCATAAGTAGTAATACTAACTTGGCTTAGCAACTAACTAAATTAGAAGAATCTATCTTATGAAATAAATATCTGACTAGAATTTCAGAAGACTAATCTAATGAAGAACTATAGCAAAAATTGAGTTTGTACAAACATTAATAAAGGTTTAATCTAGATAAATCTGTAAAATAAGCACATAACTACTTTAATAAGAATTTCTTCTAAAATTAATTAAAGCTTTGTATACTCATAATATATTAGACAATATATATTTTGAGAAAATCAAAGTTATGTAATAAATAAATTTATAAGCAAATTAGCTAGTTTAAATAATCAGATATAGTAGTAATATTAGTTTAAAATGAAAAAAAAGTTAATGATTAGAGTGTTTAAATAGGTAACTTACAAGTGAGTTGCAAATATAGTAACATAGTGTAGAACTAATAGATAGCTTATTGTCTATATAACAAACTACTTAAATTAGATAATGACTAAAGTTGTATATGTAGCTTGTTGTATACTTATTATATAACTATAAAACCTTAGAAAGTTACTATAATAGTAACTTCTGTAATAACAAATTAATAAAATTTAATTAGCTAAGAAAGTAACCTTAATAACAAAAAAAAATAAATAAATAAAAAATTATAAATGATGACTCTATATATAGTAGCCAATTATATTTAGAATTAGTAAAGTTATTTTTTATTAATCTTTAGTCATATACTGTGCATCCTATTAGGACTATAGTGAAAAAATTATAAATTCAAAATCATCATTATCTATAAAATTTAAAAAATTTGTAGTTAATTTTAGTTAGTTAATAGTAAATAGCTTATTATATTATCATATACTTAATTTTGATTAGCTAATCATATAGAGTTGCTATAAAATAATACTTTAAATATAGTATATCTCTATTAATTCACTTTCAATTACTTCTTTCTAATAAGTTTCTACTATTTTTTAAATATTGCTTTTCTGAATTGATCTATTACAAAAAAAAAGAATTTACAAATATTAATAGTATGTAATTTTTTATTTAATGGTAAAGGCATGCCAAAAATCAAATAATTTAAAATAAAGATTGAATCTATTGAATTTTGTTCGAAGTATATTTCTAAATTATTTTTGCTAAGGTATATTTCTAAAGAGAATTACTATTTATACATGGGGTGTTTGTATACAAGTTAATATAAAAGTATCAGAAAGCTAATCAAAATTTAAGATCAAGTGTAACATGCAAATCTTTCTTTGTACAATAAAAACAAAGTATTTTTCAAAAAAATGAGTATAGTGGAAGTTTGATTTTATTGGCTGTAATATGCAGCCTGCTGATCAATATTTCTTAGATTATGATTGGCTAGCTAAAATTATACTGTATAACCAAAAAAAAAAATTGTGATCAAAAATTTACCAATATCAAAATCTTATTAACACTAAAGTTTATATAATTTTTGTAGTTAAAGTTGGAGTTTCGCTATATTAAAATAGGTTTTGCTATAGTTAAAGCTTGAATTTCATTATATTCAAAGTTTGGCATTTTGCTATAATCAAAGCCTAGAGCTCATCATATTAAAATTTAGAGTTTCTTTGTAATTAAAGTTTAAATAAAGTTTGCTAATATAATTTAGATTTTTTTTTTAAAAAAAAAGTTCACTAGAGTCAAAGTTTGCCTTGATTAAAGTTTAGAGTTTTGCTTATAAAGCTTGGAGTTTTGCTATAATTAAAGATTAGAATTTTGCTGTAATTAAATTTGTTAATATAGTTTAAACATTATAAAATATATATATTATAAATAATCAATATACTGGTAGTAGACATCACAAAAAAAAAAAAAAAAAATAAAAGTATCATTTGACATCTATATATTACTATGAAGAAATACAATGGCTCTGTTCTGTACAAAATTGTAATAGAGTTTCAAATAAGTTTTGTAAATTAACTCCTGTAGTATATAAAAAGGCTCAAAAAAAAAAAGACTTTAGAACATTATAGTTATCTAGAGATTAGACAAAAGATTTGTTATAGTCACTATTTAGACATTGTAGAACCTGACTGCATTTAAAAAAAATCTTTCTTATTAAAATAAAACAATCAAATACTATCGAAAGCCAACTAATTACAAATAATTGTAGCATTTAGAAATTTTTTAATAATAGGCTTATATTCATGAAGCAGATCTAAATACTTACAAAGGTTCTTTACAAACTTCAACATGAACAGCCTGGATTTGTTGAACTTGACTCTACTCGTTTTCAGTCAATAATAGAAATTTCTGATCATCGGCTTATTGATTTTTTGAACAAATAGTTAAAGCTTTAATTCTAAATAAAAGATCTATATACAATACAAAGAAAGCAAAAAAGTCAGTAGTTAGTCTTTGTTATTTGATAGCTAATCTAAAAAATAAGTTTGTTAATACTTTTGAGTTGAAGGTTGGCTTGTATCTTTCGTTATATGAAATGTCAGCATTGGGTATTGATATATTACATAAATTAGGAGTTTCTGTATATTACAAAATGATTGATAACTATAAGAAAAAACTTGTAAAAGACTATCCTCAAAGTATCTGCTAGTTTTTTATAACCAATATAGGTTATTTTACATATTGAATATGATATATATATTTTTAAATACATAATTTACTTAATTAACATTGCATTTACAGGCAAATATTTTATACATATATAATTTAGATGACTATTATAATATTCATGAAAAGAGGCGTTCTGATTCAGTATCACTATCAACAGTCAAATATATAGCAGCATATATTAGCAAACCTATAACAATATGTATACCAATTCCCTTTGTTTTTAATAATGTAGATGTTCATAATCTACTTAATATTGATACAAGTAGCATCTGTTTTAGATTAATCCACTAATATAATAGAATATTCAACATTTCTTATAGAACTAGAAGGTTGTAATAGATTGCATCTGAGTATTTAAAAAATAATTTTGATAAAATAGATTTATTGATAATTCATATTTATGATAATATAATAATTAAGTAAAAAGAAGAATAATCCACAAGAAATATATAGTTGGTAGGATTTCAAAGTCAAAGCTTGCATTTGATGTTTGATTATATTGATGTACTTCAAATGATACTAAAAATAAATAAAGATATTAGACATATACAAAATTAGGTTGCATCTATTATAGTAGACTAGCCTAGCTAGCTTTTTATTCACAAAGCAGTTAAAAATCTAAATAATTTTTCTTATAATATTCTCTGTGAGATTAATTTATTTGTACTAATACTAGTACCATTACATGTTTCTCTAAATAGTAGAGAACAAGTAGTAATTATCTATAATTTTTTTTTTCAAAAATTATTCCACTTTGTTTTCAGTAAAAAAAAAGTCTTAGCTAAAAAGCCTAGACCATGGAAAATCAATTTGTTACTCAAATTAACACATAATATATAGTGTAAAATTAAAAAAAAATCTTAGAAAAATTTGGGTCTAATTGTAAAGATCTTGAATACTGTATGGCTTTAGATCTTTTAGATAATTTGATTCCCTCTATATTAGAAATATATGCTATACTATTTCAGTCTGGTTCGTTTAATAAATATTTAAATTATACTCTTTCCGTCGATTATTCTGACTATTTCTGGAGCAAAAGGAAAAACTTAAAAAACACCAATTTCCTATTAAGAAACAATAGTTAAGCCTTTAAGAAAAAGAGAAAAAACTACAAAATTACATATATCTAAGTCAAAGAAAAAGAAGTCAAAAAGAAAACTGAAAGGCCAAAAGTAGATTAAACATAATTTAGTGTATTGAAAAATTTTTTACTACAAAAAGTGGGAATTGTGAATACTCTGTACTATAGATCACTTCACGTAACACAATTATGAGAAAAGAGGTAAATAAACAAACATATCTTAGATTAATTTTATGTATCATGTAGTACTGACTAGAAATCAAATACGCATAACCAAAACCGGACAATTCACTGGCAAAGAGAAAAGAACCCAGGGAATTCTAGAAAAAAGGCGAAGTTACTTAAGAAACCTCAAATAGAAGATTAGTTCTCAGAAGTATATTTAGAAGTCAGCATCAAATATACAGACCAATTAGTCATTGAAAAGATGTGGAATAGAGAAGAGATGATGAAAATGACTAAGAAAATAGCTGAGAAATATGGTAAAGAAATTTTAGTCGAAGCAAGCAAGTCAGTAATAGGATTTGAAGAACACGTAGACAAGATAGTAGCAGAAATAATAGGAGTAAAAAATGAAGTAGTTACAGTAGCAAGAGAATGGAGAAAAGTAATTGGAAGAGCAGCAATGCACAAAGGGATCGAGAAAGTAGAATATATTCTAAAACAAGAAAGCAACAAGACAAACAATTATTCTAATGAACAAGAACTAGAAGTAAATAAAATAAGTATATAAACAACAAACATAGAAGAATCATCTAGAGTAGAGCTTATAGAAGTAGAAATGACCCTAGTTGAAACTCAATGTGAAACAGAGGCAATAAATACAACTAGGAACATAGCAAAGAGTACAGAAAGAATTAAATCAACTCAAGAAGACGTTTTAGATTTAACAAAATTACTCGACGATAGTATATGGGCACCAAGAGAAGAAAGATATGAAAACATAAAAGAAATCAAAGCAAAAGTCTCAGCAGCAAATGTACTAGAAGATAATGCAGAACACTGAGCAAAGTCACTAAAATGGGCACTAAAAGGAAACTCTTATGTAAAAAAAATATATGAGGAGTTTTCTAAGGGAAACCTATGGTGTATACTAATTTTTGACTGTGAGAAAGGTTTTGAAGATACGCAAAAAAGATTAGCAGAAAGAAAAGAAGAATACGAACAGTTCAGATTAATAAAAGAAGAGAAGAATTCAGAAGCAAATCACTTAAGTATAACAGAAATAAACAACCAAAACAGAAAAGAAAACAAGAGAGTTAAAAGTAACTCTGAGCAATCAGTTGAGAAGATAAGTCTTCCAAAATCCAAAGTAATTCTCAGAGAAGAAAGAAAAGAGAATCATACTATGCATGAAAGAATAAGAAAAAGAGAAGAGCAAGCAAGATCTGAATTAGAAAAGCAAGCAAGATCAGAACTAGAAGATATATATATACGCAGAAGTAGAAATGAAAAAGCTAATATTTATGAAAACAAAAGTGATGAATTGCCTACTAGAAGACAAGTAACCTCCTTTGAAGAAGGCAAAAACGATTTGAACAAGATTACTATATGGGACTTATCTAATAGAACAAAGAGATCTCAAATCTTTGAAATGGTACGACGTATAGGAAGAATTGAGTATATTGAAATAATAAGAAGTTCTATGCATAGAACCAGAGCCGTAGTAGAATTCAAAGAAAATACATACAACAAAAGACTTCTAGATGAGACATAGTGTCTGCCTTTCAGTGATTACTTACTTGTAAAATTAACAGCAGGAGTTGACAAACACGATATGCTATACACAAGAAACAGATTCAATACAAGACTCCTTAATCTATCAGAAAATACAAATAAAATCCTTCTATAGAGACAAGTTAGAAGGTCAGGTGCGAAAGCATTACATATCTTCAAAAACACAAACGACAACAGAATGAGAAGTGCAACAGTATACTTTGAATCAGAAGAGGACCTAACAAATAGTTCAAAGTTTGCAATATATTACAATAATATTAAGCTAAGATAGGCAAACAGTGAGGCAAATAATGCCAAAGGAGTATTTAGTGAAGAATATAATAGACAAGAAACTACACAAATAAGAAGTAGCAAAAGCTTAGGAAAAAAAAAAGAATTAGATTTAGATCTTAAAATAGAGTGCTCCAAATATGCACTAAACATAGAGTATAATAGAGTGAGCAACAGATACGAATCAAAGAGTATACCAGAGAGAGAAGCCTCAGAAGTACTATAGAATTGGAGAGATACAGTCAGTAACGAATTAAGCGATAGTGAAGAAATAACAGACAATACATCAGAAAATCTTTTGCCCTTAAAAAGAAGTAGAAGAAACATTAGAACAGCGCTCAAAAATCAAGATTATCAAGAAGATCAAGAATCTTCCTTAAAATTCATATTGCAACAGCTCCAACACTTAGAAGCGAAACTCGTTAATATAAAGAGAGTAGGAGCAAATTGCTCCTAATAGTAGTACCAGTTAAATTAAAAAAATCCTGGCATGATTAAGAAGGAAAACTTGCTCAATAGCACAAGAAAAATTTAGTCAATAATCAAACCAAATTAGACTTTAGAACATTAAAAGTAGCTACACATAATATTAATGAACTGAAAGCTAATAGTCATAAATTAGATTTAGTAACAGAATGGGCAGTAGATAACTATATAGACATATTAGAAATTAATGAAACAAATATCACAGAGCGACAAGGCAAATTTATACTCAAAAATAGGAACGACTATATAGGATTTTGGACTAGAGCATGTGAAGACAAACTAAAAGGCTCTGGAGTAGGTTTAATAGTTAGTAAAATATGAGAAAAGCATATAGGATAGGTGACAAGATATAGTAACTACTATATCGACATACTAATATTATTTAAAAAGTATAAATTACTAGTGATTTGTGTATATATCTCACCAAATAATAAAGAAAAAAAGAAGAAAATCTAACAGCAAGTAATCAGGAAAATTAGAGATTGTGAGAGAGACAATATTAGAGTTATCATCATGGGTGACTTTAATAATATCAGATCCAAAGACTTGGATCAAAACAACAACACCTCAAGTAGAAAATAGTCTCTCCCTCTCCTAAGATGGTTAGAAAACTCAAGCCTTAAAGACGTATTCAGAGTAATGTACCTGTACAAAAAAGAGTTCACATGGATGAACAAGATAGCTAGTACAAGAATAGACTACATCTAGGCCTCAAGCAGATTATGTCAGTGTATCTTGAAATGTGAAATAGCAGAAGCAGAGTATATTACAGGAAATGATCACAATTTTGTATTAGCAAGCCTAGGTATAGGGATAGTACAAAAAACAAACTCGCTAGCAAAAGAGAAGCATACAAAAGAGAAGAAAAGAATACTTAAACTCGATAAGGCAGAAGAAGAGAATTAGATAAATTATAGAACAAAGCTAGATGAAAAGTTAACAAAAGAGCTCAATATAAAAAGCAACAACAAACTTCTAGAAGAAATCTATGCAAATAAAAACATAGATGAACTATGGGATATTATCGCAAATAAGATTATAGAAAGTGCATACGCTACTCTTCCAAACCAAAAGATATCTGCAAACAAAATACTTCTAAAGAAGTTGAGTGCTTGCAATAAAATCCAAAAAGACCTAAAACATTTAGGGAAGATTTGTCATATGTGTACCCGAAAATTAGGCAAATATATAAATGATAAAGAACGCTACCTGGCAAACTCAAAGATAGTTAGTCTCAATGAAAAATATGAAACTCAAATAGAGTAGATAACAGAAAAGCAATGGTCTACCAATAGATGCGAGGATTTTAAAGACTGGTGGAAAATCCTTAGCACTAAAGCACAACAAGAAAGGAAAAAAGAAGAACTTGCAAACATTAATATGTATATTGATACTTGATGTGAAGCAATTCAAGGAGAGCTAAAGCATATGCTTAACCGTCTTCTCGAAAGGCCTTCCAAAAAAGTCAAAATTGACAGAGTAATAAAAGCTAGAGGAGAAGAGAAGGTTTTGCTTACAGAAGAAGATGAAGTACAAAGTGAAGTACGATCATACTTTATGAAGCAATTCCGAAAGCATAACACAAAACAAAACTCTTCATCCTCAAAATAGATTAGAACTTATAATCCCATAGAAAAGCTAAGTGAAGATATTTACTCCAACCTATCTGACCAAGTTACAGAAGAAGAATGGAGAAACGCCCTTAGCAAAACAAAAAACAAATCAGCACCAGATGTATTAGGAATAAGTTATCCTCTAATTAAGAGAGTAGGAAAGGTAGCCCAAAAAATCTTTACAATATTAGCAGATCGGTGCCTAGCTATAGGAGATATTCCAGTCAAATGGAAAATAGGTTAGCTATACCCAATCCCTAAGAACGAAGATTA